TACATAAATCATTTAAGACTTAATTAATGTATGGGTATGTTGTTTGATTAGAATAATTTTTAATAATTAAGGTTTTAGATATTTAACTAGAGTTAAGTGAAAAAAGGATAAATGAGATGTTTGAGTAAAAGGGATATATGATGTTAAAGTAAATAGATAAGGGACTTTGGGGTTTAGGGATTCAATTTAGGGTTTTAGATATGATCCTAGTAAATTCTTCATAATGCAAAACATGGGATGTGGTTTATTCCTCGTAATACTCGTGTCCTTGTAAATTTGTTGTAATTCAAAACACAGGTTGTGGTTAATTCCTCATAATACACATGTCTTAGTAAATACGGGACATGGTTAATTCCTCGTAGCAGTACAAAACAATTACGACGAAAACTACAGTGTTTTTCTATATATAGGCGAACCCACTTCGGAGCTATTCCTCATGCCTTTCTCTCTATATTCTCTACATCTCCTCCTCTCAAGTAAGTTTTATTTTATTTTATTTTTTAGTCTAAGTTGTTTAGGTAGATTAGGTAGATTAGGTAGTTTAGGTCATTAGTTTAGGTGGTTAGCTTAGGTGGTTAGTTAATTAAGGAATATAAATATATTTAAAGACTAGGTTGGGGTTTCAAAACCCATTAGATTTTAAATAAATTAAAATTAGATGGCTCCTAGGAGAAGACCTCCAACATATTATTCTGAGATGTTTGGTGGTGCTGTGACTGGGACTGGGACAAATTTTTCAGCCCCATCATCTAGTTCGGATCCGGAGACAGTTCCCAACTCTCAGATGCCTCCACCTCCTGCTCCACAGGTGCACGGTCCTCCTTCAGTGACTCCACACGGAGCACCGCCTGCCCGTGCAGCTGGAGCTCATCCGGATTTGCTTGTGCCTCCATCTGCACCTTACGCTCGATATACTGTCAAGGATCTTCTTGTCCAGCCTGGGCGAGAAGTTTTAGATATTTTGGACTCCAATCGACCGTCGGGTACATGTTGGTAAGTATTTTTTATACTTTAGTTTTGAATTTTATATTATATTAAGTTTCTAATAAGTTGGTAATATATTAGGTTTGGATCAACAACCGCGTCTCTCAGAGCGTTTCTGACACGATGAAATGATATGTTTTTGAGCCCTATCTGAACTGGAGTATGACACCCGAGTATGTTAAGACGACATGATTCAAATGTTTTGAAGTAATGTTATATAATTTTTATATTTAATAATTAATTACATATATAATATTTCAAATTATTTTTGTTTGTTTTAGCAAAAGTGGCATTGGTCCGTATCAATCAACTAGAGGGTGAAGATGTAATTTGTTGTAAACGCAAAGGCCCGCCTTACAAACACCATCTCAGATTCAAAGGACAAATGGGAGTACAACGGTAATGAGGCGAAATCCACCGAGATCACGAATGATATTTGGGATTTCCTCATCGCCTATTGAAAGCTATCCCACTCTATCAGTATTTCCGGTCAGTGCTCCGCTTCCCGTAGGACGAAAGATATGCGGATTTTAATTCACCCATGCTTCGTACTACGGGGCAAAAACCCCACGTCGGTGTCCGTCTAAATATTGTAAGTTTTATTTTATAAATGTTAATATTTGTTTTCATTTCATTATCTTATTAGTTAATATTTTATTTGTTATCTATTAGTAGGCTGAAAAGACATGACTCTTACCATCTTTATATGATCTATTCAAGATTACTCATATGAGATAGGATGGGAATTTTTTCGATCCTAGGCTGTAGAAGATCTACAATGACGTGGATGCTCGTATTGAAGAGCGCGAGACGTAACGTACTTAGCAGTCTCCCAATGGATTACCCAACAAATTTTCTACACAGGAGATGGACAATATCTTTGAAGAAGTAAATTTTTAAAATTTATAGTATTTTAAATTAATTTTTATAAAATTTACATTAAAATTTTTCGTTTTGTCAAGGTGGCTTCTAGAAAGAAGGGACAGGCGATGGAAATTTTTCCATCAACGATGTCGTAAGGGCGATGTCATCGTACTCTCACAAGCGGGACGAGGAGAATGCTCACCTACAGGCTCAAGGGGCTGCGATGCAGAATCGCTTGGATTCAATTGAAATTCTTCTCGAAACTATAATGGTTGGAAACCCGCATATGCAGAGACTGTTGGAGATCAGACACTAGTAGCTCGGGAATGACACTGGTCATCCTCTCGCTCCTCGGACAAAGACCTGAACTTCCCAGGAATGAACTCCTCGAACGACTACTTCGACGTCGATGATCTTTAGTTGTTTTTTCATTTTGTATATGAAGTTAAATATTAATATAATTATATTTATGACTTTTATATTTTTTTATATTTTAAAATATTTTATTTAATATTTTATTTTCTAATTTATAATATTTGAAAAATTTTAAATAAAAAGGAAAAAGATTACCAAAGAAGATGTAAATTCCTAGTAATATTTACAAGGAAGTGCAAATAAGGTAGTCCTAAAATATTACAAAGGTTTTCTTAATATTTCCATGTAAATTCCTTGTAAGGTTTATAAAATCTTTACAAGGACTATTTAAGATGACTTTACTAGGATACATGTTTTCAATTTATGACGAATTTACTAGGGTTGCATGTTTTTATTTATACCAATTTACTATTTTTTGCATGTTCGTATTACGAGGAAGTCCGACGATTAGCTAGGTTTCTCTTTTACGACGAATGTGTTTCGTTGGAACGTTAACGAGTAAGTTATAAGAATTTTTTCAGGACGACAGATATTTTATAACGAAACATAAGTCGTGTTAAATTTTTGTAATATTCTTATTACGAGAGATTAACAACAAATAAAATAGTTGTAATGCATGTATTTTTTTTTGTAATGAATGAAAATCGGCCATTCCTTCGGTACATATACTATTTTCATCGGTCGAGAAAAAATCAATTGGGACCTCATAACAAATATACAAATTTGAAAAGAAACTTCTACGAATACAGCAAATCTGGATAGATAATTTCCACAACTAACAATCAGATCGAATTCGATAGTAGATCAAAAGTTAATCATGCACTAGGTTGCATGGAAAGGAAAACGGATACGTGGAAAGGAAACGTTTTGAAATGTGGAAACGTGATTTTTCATAAAATTTTGAAATAGAAACGTCTTAGAAACGTCAATATATATATATGATTAATTAAAATTTACACTTAAATTTTTGTTTGATTTATTTGAGAGAGAAAATTAAGTAATATAAGTGTTATTATTCTTGATACATTTTATTAAAAAACTAATCAATAATTAGAAAACTAACACATGTTATTATTATATAAAATTATGGAGCCTAATTCCTTCCAGATCAAACCATTATACTAAAAGGATAACTAATATTGAAATCTATATTAATAAAACTGAAGTACATTTGGGAGTTGTTTGGAAACATGGATAGCAGGAAATAAAAAGAGTATAATGTTGTTTGACAACATTGATTGCAGTATATTAAAAATATATATATATATAAGTGGCCAATCTAATTAACTAAAAAATAATTTTGTTTAAAATAATCATAATACAAAATTTAAACTTTATATACGTATTTCAAATCAAAAGAAAATTTAAAATTAATTTATATCAAAAATTGATTCTAAAATATACATATATACAAAAATTGATTTTTACTAAAATATTTTCCAATAACGATTATAAAAAACGTTTTCAATATATATAAGAAAAATACAATACAAAGCTCAATTTCAAAGATCAATTTAAATTGTGGTTTTTATAATTTACATTTTAGTACTTAAAATATAATATATGTGATTATTTATATTAAGTTTGTTAATTTGACTCTTTACGCATGGGTCTCACCTTGTTTGACCCACTATAGGGCGAGTGCGGATCAACAAATTTGAAAAATATGTGGGACGAGTGTGGCTTTAGAATTTTTACTCGGAGCGGGTGCGGGTCGGTCGAATTTAAACTACGGGTACCTGTTAGAAGAATTTTTTTTTTAAAATATGATTTTAAATGATGTTATTTAAAAAAATAAAAATAGGAATATAAAAATAAATTAATTAAAATATATTATTTTAGTTTAAAAACATAAAAAAAAAATAAATATTTGTTTATCCTATGGATTATTCACAAATTTAAACTAGGTGGGTGCATGTATAATATTTTTTACTTGCAGGTTAAGTGGATCAGAGTTTTGAATCAAAATATGATTCAACACACAGCGGGACTGATCGGTCTGTAAATTCAGCACTAATTTTTATGATGATAGGTATAAAATACTATTTATTATATGATTATTTATATGATAATAGATATAAAATATGTTTTAATTATATGATGATACATATATGATATGAAAAACAAATAGCAATATACTTTTGAAAAACTACATCTGTGCGGGAGCACGGATCAAAGTATAGTATAATATTAAAATACAAATTAATAAACATGTTATCACTAATATCAAATGACAAATAGTTATTTTTTCGTGTTTCCAATCAGAATCGCTAGTTTTCTAAATTAGAAATGCAAGTTTCCATCGTGTTTCCAAAATAAATATTTATGAAACACGTTTCCTAAGAATTTCTTCAAGTTTTCAAGAGATTTTGATTTCAGAACGTTTCCGAAACAGAAAACGGACCTTGATCAGAGTTTCCATGCAACCTAGATCATGCATTAAATGTTTTGTATTTGTTTCTTGTGTCACCCTTAAAATTGTATTCAATCTAATCCTTTCCACTTTTTCATTTAACAAAAGAAAGCTTACATAACGGTCAAAATGAATCTGTCTTGCTTAGCTGTCTAGATGAACTTTGGAAACCTAATTGTCTTTATCAAGCCTCTATTAAAGATTCGACACTAATGCTACCGGCTATTACCAGTTAACACGGTCACCGTAATTATTAACCATACCGAGAAAGCGGGCAGATTCATAGTATTCAGATAAGGCGTATCCGGTGATCTCCTCAAAATAATTTTCCTTTCCGTCCACAAAACTCGTTTATTTGTTCGCTCTTCGTCCATGTTTCTTACCAAACCACGGAAAACAAAAAGCGATTCGCGAAAATTAATAAAAACATTTTCGTCTTCTTCATTAAAGCTCTCTCTCTCTCTAGCTTTTGTAAGATCGTGTTCCAATTTGTATGGATTTGAGTCGTTCTGATTCTAATTTTTCATTAGGGTTTGATAGTTCCCACGCATCATCAATGGCTCCGACTCAGAGAATCCCGATTGCTGACGATTCGATTAATCTACAAGTCGATCCCAGTTTCCGATCATCGCCGGCCACTTTCTCTCCGATTCCGTTGCAGTTACTCGAACAGAAAGTCGAGAAGATTGCCGTGGAGGAGTCAAAGAAAGACGGAGATGAAAAGGAAGATGAGCACTTCCGAATCTTAGGTCACCACATGTGTCTCAAAAGGCAACGAGACTGTCCGCTTTTAGCTCAATCGAAAAATTCGAGGAGAACAATAACTGGTGACACGGATCTGGAATCGAGACGTGCTGCTGTTCGTTCTTGGGGAGATCAGCCTCTTCATTTGGCGGACCCAGACATCCACGAGATCATGGAGAAAGAGAAGCAAAGACAAGTGAGAGGAATCGAGCTGATTGCTTCCGAGAACTTCGTGTGTCGAGCTGTCATGGAAGCTTTGGGAAGTCACTTGACCAACAAATACTCCGAAGGCATGCCTGGAGCCAGATACTATACTGGGAATCAATACATCGACCAGATTGAGAATCTCTGTATCGGAAGAGCTCTTACTGCCTTTGGTCTTGAACCTGACAAATGGGGTGTCAATGTTCAGCCCTATTCTTGTACCTCTGCCAATTTCGCTGTATACACTGGACTTTTACTTCCCGGTGAACGGATCATGGGGCTTGATTCTCCTTCAGGTGGCCACATGAGTCATGGCTATTGTACTCCAGGTGGGAAGAAGATCTCGGCTACATCAATCTTCTTTGAGAGCTTTCCTTATAAAGTGAATCCTCAAACTGGGTATATTGATTACGATAAGCTGGAGGATAAGGCTCTTGATTACCGCCCCAAGATTCTTATCTGTGGAGGCAGCTCGTACCCTAGGGACTGGGATTTTTCAAGGGTTAGACTAATTGCTGACAAGTGTGGTGCTTTTTTGATGTGTGATATGGCTCATATTAGCGGTCTTGTGGCCACTAAGGTTTGAATCTTCTACTCTTTTCTTTATTTCTTGATTTGCTCTTAGTCTTAGGTTTTATATTTAATTGTCTAATACTTGAATCGTAACTCAAGTATTGAGTTGTTCAAAAGCTTTAGATGGTTGACTACTTTCTAATCAAAGTCCTCCTATGTAATGATTAGTGGTTAGAAGCTTCATATCATAAAGCTTAAATTTTAGGAAATAATAACTAGATGTTGGTGTGTCGGCCGATATACGTAAGGATATCGTTTGAAACTAATCAAGTACAATTTTGTTTCTCACTTTTGTTTGTTTTGTTTGTCATCAACAGGAATGTTCTAATCCATTTGATCACTGTGACATTGTTACCTCCACTACCCACAAAGGTCTACGTGGTCCCAGAGGAGGTATCATCTTCTACAGGAGAGGACCAAAGATAAGAAAGCAAGGCCATCACTCTAGTCATTGCGACAGTTACCCGCACTATGATTTAGAGGAGAAGATCAACTTTGCTGTTTTTCCCTCGCTACAAGGAGGTCCTCACAACAACCATATCGCAGCTCTCGCCATTGCCTTGAAACAAGTGGCTACTCCAGAGTACAAAGCTTACATACAACAGATGAAGAAAAACGCTCAAGCTTTAGCATCAGCTCTGCTTCGAAGAAAATGCAGACTGGTTACAGGTGGCACAGACAACCATTTGTTGCTCTGGGATCTCACTCCATTGGGCTTAACTGGTACGAGAAGTCACTCAACCTTACCACTCACTGATCCTAATGTTAGAGTTTTTTCTGAATTTTTTATTATGCGGCTGATTTTCAGGGAAAGTCTACGAAAAGGTCTGTGAGATGTGCCATATAACCTTGAATAAGACTGCTATATTTGGTGACAATGGTACAATATCTCCTGGAGGTGTAAGGATAGGTAAGCTCACAGATTAGTTTTGCATTTCACATTCTTATTTATTACTATATCACTTCTTTCCTGAACTTGAGGGTTTTTAACCAATAGGGACACCGGCGATGACAACTCGAGGTTGTATAGAGTCTGATTTCGAAACAATAGCGGATTTTCTGATGAAAGCGGCTCAGATAACAAGTGCGTTACAGAGAGAACATGGCAAGTCACATAAGGAGTTTGTGAAGAGTCTATGCTCTAACAAAGACATATGTGATCTCAGAAACCGAGTTGAAGCATTTGCGTTGCAGTATGAAATGCCTGCTGCTTCTCAGATTTGAATTGAAATGAAGGAAAATTCTACCACACAGCTTTGTTTGGTTTCTCGGCGGGGTTTTTTTTTTTTTTAAGTTATATCCTGTAAATTAGAGTATTATATATATTTGTCTTGCAATTTGATTGCACACTTTCTTCATTGTAGTTCTGTACACATTCGATAGGATGGGATAATCTATAGACATGTTCCTACACAGTTTTCTTAAAAGGTGTTTTTATTAGCAAAAATTACATAAAAATACACAACTAAATTTTGTTGAATTGTTTTATATTTAAACTTATTCAACATCCAGTTTAATATCTTAACTAACTATTTTGCTGATTGTATTATTTACTGTGTGTTTTTCGGCACTATGTGCAGAAATGAAACTTTAAATTTAAATTGCGGGAAATTTGCCAAATGTATGACTCAAAACTTGGTTTCAAATGCAAAAGTAAATCCAAACATCAATCAAATGCAAAAGTAACCTAACAATCTATCCGGACGACTTTCAACTAAAAATAGTTTAAAGTCGTCTAGTATAGTTATTCTTAAAAATAGTTTAAAAAATTTGTAAAAAATATTTAGATAAGTGAAAAATTGAAATATTGTTATTAACACCAGTTTTAAGAGATATAAATTAAGATAGAACAAAATTTAATTATTTTTAACATAGATGAGTGAAAATAATGAGTCATGATATTCTTTGGTTTAGGGTTTGCCAACAGATGTTGTAGTATTGTATGTGTTTCTTAGGGTGTTAGATTTTCGAAAGCATAAATGTTTTTTGAAAAATTTAAAATTTATCAAGTGTGTTTATTTCTGTGTATAGTAAACACTATTTAAGTATAATTTGATTTTATAACGTGGTTATTTAGTTAATTTAGTCAATTTAGTATAGGGTTTAAGGTTTAGGGTCTGGACGACTCAAATATCAGTCGTCTTTAAATAATTTTACACAAACGACTTATTCCCGCCTAAAATTTTTTAAAAAATTATTTTCCCGCTTGAATAATTTAAACCAGACAACTTACTTGTAAGTCTTTTGGACGGCTTACTTGTAAGTCTTCTGGACGACTTACTTGTACGTCTTCTGGACGACTTACTTGTAAGTCTTCTGGCTAGACGACTTATTTGTTAGTTTTCTGGCTGGACGACTTACTTGTAAGTCTTCTGGACGACTTACTTGTAAGTCTTCTGGACGACTTACTTGTAAGTCTTCTAGCTGGACGACTTACTTGTAAGTCATCTACAAATTCTTCTGTTTTAGTTTCCCGCTAAAATTATTAAAGTCTCCTGGACGACTTACATTTCAGTCATCTGAATCGAAAATATTTAACCTAATTGTTTTTTTTGTTTCCCTATATAAAGAAAAATTTACACAGTCTCTCTCCTCCTCTCAAATGTCTGCAACAGAAATGTAATGTTCATCTTTCTAGAACTCTTCAACCTCTCTATAATCTCTTTGAACTTATAAACACCAAACTTATATCAAATTTTTTTTTTGTCTCATTAATTTATCTTTTTTTTTTAGGTTTTTCATCACATGATTCTCATATTCCACTCATTTAAAGATAGATTTATTAACTTTATATGAATTTTTCTGTTTTGTCTCATGTTTTTCTCACTAATCTATCTTTTTTTGCAGATTTTTAATCAAATGGTTCTCATCTTCATTTGGATATGTATGTTTTGTGTTCTATAAAAGTATATATATCTAATTTTTCACTCATTTTTGTGTGTTTTAAGCCATTTGAATGTTTTTTGATATGCAGGTTTTTCAGATATGGGCTTGAAATGCATGCTTTTCAGATCTGGAAGACTTCTGGGACGACTTACCTGGAAGTCGTCTGGACTTCCTGTAAGTCATCTGGAATTCCTGTAAGTCGTCTGGAAGTTGTCTTGACTGCCTAAAAGTTTTCTGATGCTGTCTTCTTTCATATCAAGTGGAGTCCAAGCTTGTCTTTGTAAAAGAATGATCTATTATAGTTTTGTAAAATCAGTTCCCAAGATGTAATATATGTGCTAACAATGTGTCTACACATTTACAAATCAATGAAATAATAGACTTCAATAGATTTTTTTTCATTTTTTGGATTTCCCATATGCAATAATAAATCACAATGGCCTTCTGCTCATCTTAATAAACAAGAATGTTGGTAGCCTCGTATTGATACAACATTTTGAGAAGCATTTTAATCTTTCTTCCAACAAATCATCATTGGTGTTAAAGCATATTACATGTTTTACAAGGTTGTGTTGAAAAACTTTGTCAAATTTAGTAAAATTAAGGGAGAAAAAAATATTTTAAAAATATGAGATTTACAAATCATGAAGTTATTTAAAACTTTTAAAAATACAAGTAATTTAAAAAATATTTTTATCACTCTATTCAACCAAGAAAACTTAGTAAAATTCACAGTAAATAGGTCGTCTGGAAAGTCATCCAGCTGGAAGACTTTCCAGATGACTTAATTATTAGTCATCTGAGAAGATTAACACAAATTCTTAATACATACTCATAAAGCCTGGACGACTTAGTAGAAGACTTATAATTAAGTCTTCTGGAAAGTCATCCAGCTGGAAGACTTTCCAGATGACTTAATTATTAGTCATCTAAGAAGACTAACACAAATTCTTAATACATACTCATAAAGCCTGGACGACTTAGTAGAAGACTTATAATTAAGTCTTCTGAAAAGTCATCTAGCTGGAAGACTTTCCAGATGACTTAATTATTAGTCATCTAAGAAGACTAATACAAATTCTTAATACATACTCATAAAGCCTGGACGACTTAGTAGAAGACTTATAATTAAGTCTTCTGGAAAGTCATCTAGCTGGAAGACTTTCCAGATGACTTAATTATTAGTCATCTAAGAAGACTAGCACAAATTCTTAATACATACTCTTAAAGCCTGGAAGACTTAGTAGAAGACTAATAATTAAGTCTTCTGGAAAGTCATCCATCTGGAAGAATTTCCAGATGACTTAATTATTAGTCATTGACGCAGACGACATACAAGTAAATCGTCCAGACGACTTAACCGTAAGTCGTTCAGACGACTTAACTGTAAGTCTTTCAGACAGGTCATTTTTGCAATTGAAATTTAAATGAGACAACTTACTTCTAAGTCGTCCAGCTTTGTATGTTAAAAAAAAAAATCTCGACGACTTATAAGTAAGTCGTCTAGGAAAAATGGTTTAGTTTTGCATTTGACCGAATTGTGTCAGATATTTGACTTTTCCTGGACGACTTACTAGTAAGTCGTCTCCGGGAAAGTTAAAATTTCAATATTTTATTAAATCTAGATGACTTACGGATAAGTCGTCTTAGGTTAATTTTGTAACCGAAAAATAAAACTTTAATTTTAACTTTTCCTAGAAGACTTAATTGAAAGTCATCCAGTATGACGACTTATTCGAAAGTCGTCCGAGATAAGCAAAGTTTGACCGGAAAAAAATCTGGACGACTTTACGTATCTTAGACGACTTTAGAATAAGTCGTCTGACTGGACGACTTTAAAATAAGTCGTCTGACTGGACGACTTTAAAATAAATCGTTTGACTGGACGACTTTAAATTAAGTCTTCTAGAAAAAATTAAAATTAAAGTTTTATTTTTCAGTTACAAAACTAACCTAAGACGACTTGTCCGTAAGTCGTCTAGATTAAATAAAATATTGAAATTTTAACTTTCTCGGAGACGACTTACTGGTAAGTCCTCCAGGAAAAGTCAAATATCTGACACAATTCGGTCAAATGCAAAACTGGCCGTTTTTCCTAGACGACTTACTTATAAGTCGTCCAGTTTTTTTTTTTTTTAACATACAAAGTTGGAAGACTTAGAAATAAGTCGTCCAGCTCATCCAGAAGACTTACGAGTAAGTCTTCTACGCGAACATATCTGGAAAAAATTTCAATTTCATACCTTAAACTAAGTGAGATGACTTCCTTAGCACACAAAGTCTTCTCCAACCACCCAGAATATCAAATGAAAGTAACCCACCAAGAATTGTATGCTTAAATGGCTCTATCAACCATAAAAATTTTGAATCAAAAGCTTGGGTTTTTTGTATGAATATTGAGACAAAGTGAAAGAGATGTTGTTTTTAGTTCATAACAATTGAGAAAGAGAGAGGGTAAATCAATTTTAGGTGCATTAAGAGCTTCAAATTGGTTGTTCATGGTAGTTAGGGTATTGATGACAATGACAATCTTGTAAATACTTGAAGATGATGAGGTTGAGAGAATAAAAAAATAATTTTCAAAAAGAACAGAAGAAAAAAATGTAATGGCATTTTTGTAAATAATATGAACAGATGGGGTCAATAGGAGAAACGAAAAGTCAAAAAACAAAAAATGTTAGTTTTGTGTTTGACTTTGAGTTTTGAGTCAAATTTGCAAAAATCCGTTAAATTAAAGCTAAAATAAAATTTCAATAGACTTAGCAAATTAGAAAATTGGTTAGCTTTATCTTTACATTGAGTAATATATTTAAATATAATTTTAAATATTTAAATATATACATTGTTATTACTATTGTCTTTATTTTGTAATTTAAATTAATTAAGAATAAATATAAATATTTACAAAAGGTTTATCTTTATTATAAGGTTATTTTAGATTATTACAGTATTTTAAAAACTTGTCAAAATGAATTACCATGTTACCATAATCGTTACATTATATAATAAATTTTAACTGCAATATTTTCTTTTTAAAATAATATGGTAATGAGTTTTTTATAAAGTAATATATGTTTTGAAATATATTTTGTTGAGGTAGATTAACTTTTGGACATTTAAAGCACATATAGTTTTCTTTGTAAAATTCAAAACATTATAACTCCTAAAATATAGAGAACTTTTTTTAGTTAAGCATATCGAAGAATTTAATTATGAGATATAAATTTAAGAAGGAAATACTCTCTTACAATTTTATCATATTTGAATAATTTTTATTACAAACCCTAAAAATATATAAAAACAAAAATAAGAAATATATTTAGTTGCCTTTTCATTAACTTGTTCAAAGTATAAGTTTAATATTAATTCCATTTAAGATTTAAATTATTTATTTATATCTTATAACTATGGTAATAGTTATATAATTAATATTGTATATCTGAATTTTATTAACTGAATTTTAAGTAATAATTGTGTTAAATCAAGTCATAATTAGCTAGGATCCATGTCATCATTAAGTGAGCC